GTCCCGCGTCAGCAGCGCCTGCAGCCGCCGCGCCTCCTTGGCCCGGATCTGCGGGACACGGTGAGCTGTGTGAGCACAGACAGTGCCCCCGGCCCCCGAGGGGATGGGCTGGGCACAGGCAGCGCCCCCAGCCCCGGGTTTGGGCCAGGACAGGGTGACTCACCCGCTCCAGCAGCCCCTGGGACACCCCTTTGAGCGCGCTGGAGGTGCTGGCAGGGGCCGGGCTTTTGGAAAGCGTCGGTTCCCCCGCACCGGCTCCGGCCGTTCTTAGGGCCAGGTTGGCAAGAGCTTTTTCCATCTGCTCATGTGGAAGAGGGAGGAGGAGTTGGGTTACAGTTCAGGCTGGAGGAAGGAGAAGTTTCCCCTCTGCCGCCCCCGCCGTCACCCAGCAGCCCAGTGATCCCAGCCCAGTGATCCAGATCCATCCTGCCTGCACAGGAGCCTGGGCTGCTTCAGAGAATGGTGGAATGGACTGGGTGGGAAGGGACCTGAAAGCTCTTATTTGCTGTGGGCAAGGACACCTTCCACTAGGCCAGGTTACTCCAAGCCAAGCTGGCCTTGGACATTTCCAGGATCCAGGGACAGCCACAGCTTCTTTGGGCAACCTGTGCCAGGGCCTCCCCACCTTCCCAGGGAGGAATTCCTTCCCAATATCCCATCTCTGGCAGTGGGAAGCCACTCACACCTTCCCAGAGGTGGCAGAGACAGAGCCAGCCCCTCCTGCCTCACCTTGGGGCTCAGCATCCCCTGGGCCGTGCTCAGCACCTCCTGGGCCGTGCTCAGCCTGTCCTCCTGCGGCGGCCGCGGCAGCTCCGCGGGGCTGACGTCCGGCACCTCATCCACGTTGAAGCGGGGGTGCCACCGGGTCAGCTTCTCCTCTGGCACCACCATGGGAGGGCTGAGGGCAGCCAGGAATGCCTGGAGAAGGGCAAGAGCTGTGTCATGGCACCAGGAACGGAGAGGCGGCCACTGCCCTGCGCTCCCAGCAGCTCGGTGACACAGGGAGTGAATTCAGAGCCCATCTCCAAGGGGAACCCTCGTGTCCTTCAGCCTGGATGGCACCAGGGAGAACCCCAGAGCAGGGGCTGCCAGGGGCCCCTCACCTTGTGGTGCTCCCTGACGATGTTCACCAGGTTGCGGTGGAATTCCCTCCGGCGCTCCAGCAGCCGCGACGCCGACAGATGCGGGCGCCCATCCACCTTCTCCTCTGCAGGGAGGGACAGGAACGTCACCCACAGCACCCCAGAGGGGCACAAACCACAGGAGCCTCAGGAAGCACGGGATCAGAGCCCTGCCATGGAGCCGAGCTGCTGCCAGTCACTGCCTGGACATTCTCCCTCTTGTCCCAAACCTGCTTCCCACTTCCAACATGCTCAGGGCCTCCATTTAATGGACCACGCAGAGCATCCCTGTGGATTCAGGGACCAGGCAGGACTGAGCAACCCAGCTCTCAGGCACCCCAGAACTGCCCATACCTTCCCCCAGCAGCGGCTCCAGTGTGAGCTGATACTCAGACTTCTTCCCGCTGCTGCCGAAGGTGGGGACGTTCTTCTCCTGGCGCAGCCGGTACGAGCCGGGATACACGGCCTTGATCTGCCCCAGGTGCTGCTCCTCGAACTGCCTGTGACAGCACCAGCGAGGTTGGGGACCCCCAGAGTCACCAGCCCCAAGAGCTTCAGCTGGGAACCCCAAAAGGGCTTGCTGGGACCCCAAAAGAGGCCGCCCACCTGCGCATCATGTCCTGCACGCCCTGCTTGACCTTGGCGAAGGTGACGGTCTCGGCGCGGTTGAAGAGCATCCCGGCGATGGTGTCCACGCTGCGGAACATCTCTGCCAGCACCCTGAACTTGTAGGGCAGCGTCAGCCCCGGGGGCAGGTCCTGGGCCAGGGTGTGGAACCGCTGGTACGCCGGGGGCTTCTCGCTGTGGGGAAGGGCAGGACGGGTCAGGGTCCTGCTGCTGACAGTGCCCAGCTCCCACCCCCATCCCAAACCCCTTCTCTGAGTACTGGGGTCACGTCACCTGGGGGACATTGGTGTCACAATGCTCAGAGCCCCCACAAAACCACTTCAGGGCTGTGGCAGCCCCTGGGACGCCCCTCAAATCCCTCCTGCAGCTGCTCCTCACCCGGTGTGTCCCTCAGGGGCTGCAGCCCCGCTGTCCCCGGCTCCGCTCCCCGCTCTCCTCTGCCGCAGCCGCAGCTCCAGCT